TAACCCTAACCCTAACCCTAACCCTTAACCCTAACCCTAACCCTAACCCTAACCCTTAACCCTAACCCTAACCCTAACCCTAACCCTAACCCTAACCCTAACCCTAACCCTAACCCTAACCCCTAACCCTAAACCCTAACCCTAACCCTAACCCTAACCCTAACCCTAACCCTAACCCTAACCCTAACCCTAACCCTAAACCTAAACCTAAACCTAGTAGAAGGAAACCCATAATTCTTTGAGAACGCTTCGACCACCGATATAACTTTACTATAGATTTTATTCTTCTTGTACTGTCCTTTTTGCCCTTTATGCGAATTTAACTGTTTCGATATCCTGTAACCCTAACAGACCTTTAACTGTTTCGATATCCTGGAGTTCTTCTACACACCTTCACATCAACCTCGACGAAACACTGCAACTGCCCTTAAAATAGCACGAGAATAAAGAACATACTGTAGCTTGTTTCATTCTCTCTTAAGTTTTGATTTCTACGAAAACAGCGCGTGGGAACGCTTCTCACGACGAGTATACCGACATTTCCTTGTCTAATCAGGCATATTGATGGGTGCCATAAAGCTTACGCTTCTGCCCAACATGAGAGATCGTGTACGTCTGCGAATAGCTGACATGGCCCTTATCGGTGGTGACCTTGATTTATGGAAGATAAAATTGAATGAAGGATCTCCAACACAATTCTTCAGTTTTTCGACTCTCGGGCTCATACAACACTTCATTACCTTGAAAAAATAGTCTGCTGGTAGGATATGATCGAAAAAGTCCATATCTATACGAGCGTGACCCTCTGCATCCGTTGTTACGCTTTGAAGCTTGTGAATGATATGCTCTGCATTGGCAGGATCCTGTAGTGAGTACCAAAATTGTGGTTTTATCCATGAGTACATTATGAAGCACGTGAGAGCGATACCATACCGACAACTGAAACCTATCCTAACATTAACAGGTAGAAACTTCATAGGAAAAAATTGAGGACTACTTCTGAGCAAGACTTTCTTCACGTATGTAGAGCAAGACTTTCTTCACGTATGTAAAAGCTATGAATTTTTTTCATTGGTAGGGGCAGGGGCGGCAGCCAGTACGGGTGCTCGGCTAATCTACGCGGGTAGCTCCTTACCTTAAACCGATGGAGCTCAAGCTGGAGGGCGTTCTCCGGAGGGAAGTTTTGCAAGTAAAGATGATATGTTTTTCCATATGTAGCGTCGGTGAGTGGTACGGCAGTTTGATGGGGGTCGACTAACACCGCTGAGTGCTTGCCAAGAGACCTGTGGGGAGCAGTCAAATGAAGCTGGGAGTAGAATTTCAAAAGTGATCAGTTGTCTTTTTCTGATGTCAAAACGAAACAAAGTTAATGATTAAAGTTAGGCATAGGAAAAAAGTTAAACGTTACCGGAGAATTGTATGCAGGTACAAAGACTTCATCGTCAAACCGGAGAGAGACGTGGCCGAGCTCAATGCCCTGGTGTTGTAATGAAAAGTATCGTGTGTAAGATAACGTGCGACACCTGAAAGATGATAAACGGTCTTTTCTACGGTTTTTACACACCGAGTCAGTGGCTAATGCCGCTTTAATTGCCTCGGCCAAGGGTCCTTCGTTCCTTTCATCCTGGCTGCCGTAAAAACCAGCCTTGATAACATCCATGGCCTTCTCCGTGGACGATACGAAGACCATCTAAGGTGTTATTCGGTATTATTAGATACGTACGAAATCATGGAACGACCAGAAAATTATATGTTGAAGGAAGCTTCTCAATCCTTGTTCACCCACCTTGACGGTGTGTGTCTTCGAAAACTCGCTATCCTCGTAAAGGCTTCGGGCAGGGCCAGCCTGGTGATCACCGAAGAAGGAATCACGCTCCCCAGTGTACAGATTAACCTATAGTAGTAAAATCGAAGCGTGAGAGACACAAAGCTATGAGCTTCCGAGAATCAGGCAGGAATATAGCAAGGGGATGACAGAGAATGTAAAAGACACTCACAAGTACAGAATCCTTGTCCATACTAGGTCCCTGCAACAATGCCACGGCTGAGACGACGGCCTCTTGAATCTCAGGCAAATCTAGAGCCTCAACACTCTCCTCGGTGGTTGCCGACATAGTTGCCATCAAAATGTAGTGCGCTTTGTAATCTAATTCTTCGCCGTCCTCAGCCAGTGTTCTGATTGTAGACGAACAGAAAGGCACGTAGGTTTTTAGTTTTACCATCAATGTCACACTCTGGCGAATTCACTTACTCTTCATCTAGGTTTATTTTTTGACCACTTGGCAATGCTAAGTCGTTGCAATTGTCCTCAACAGTACAACCATCGACTCCTTCCCCTTCGACGCTGTAGAGATTTTTGTTCCCACAAATAAAGTGAGAAAACGTCAGTTTCGTACAAAAATGAAATTGTTGGCATTACATGATCATACCCTGGAACATTGCACAAACCGCAGAAGCCATCAGGCTTGTTGTGAATATAAAATGCAGGCTTATCATCCTCTTCAGCTTTGGGGGCTTCTCCATTAGGAAACATGGAGGCGATCTGAGTCTTGATGTCCTTAAATGTCTACAGAATGACGCGGATACGGAATAGGGATCAAGGTTAAAATGCGTTATGGCTACAAACTATATTCTTCCGACCCAATCCAAAAAATTTGCTACAACACTCACATCTAAAAATTTTGGCGGGACAAGGTGCTTGAATTTGGAGCCGTCTAGGTCATTTACCCGAGTGACGTTCATAGCCAAGAGAGATGTTTCCAACTGCGAAAGAGGATAGACTGTCAGTCACAAGCGAGAGTCAATTAGGCTGGCAAAAGTCACTCACCACAGGCTGCATAGGTGAAGTAGATAGCATCCTGTCATCCACCTCAGTCAGCGATTCGCGATTTTCAAGGTGGCTACGCTCCCATAAATTCGTGGCGTGGCGCCGTACCTGACGCGGTAAGGCATGGGTGTGCCCGCCCTCTTGGAAAAAAGCACGGAGTGCACGCTGCTCCGCAGATAGCTTGCGTGTGCTTGTCCTGCCTGTTCGAGATCTGAGGGGTTGATCAACGTGTGTCTTTGGGGCCTTGATACCAGAAGCTGGACGACGTCGTCCTTTTGGAGCAGTACTGGCAGCGGCTCCTCGCCTTTTCTGAGATAGCGCTCGAGCACGTCTGCCTCCTTCTTCAGCAGCCCCTGGGCCTTCGTTTCCTTTCTCGTATCCGAGGAACAAGTCCGCTGAGGTTCCGAGGGTAAGAATGAATGTTCATATCGGTAAATAATGGATTCAATCACATGTCAAGAAGTCAATTTTCTCTTACGTAGTTTTTGGCAGCCTTGCAACGGGGCAATAAATGTTGCGATATTGAAAAGTGATCGATCTTGGACTGCAAGAGCACGCCGCCCTCCTTCCTCGCCGCCACCGCCAGAAGTGCTATTGTTGACAATCCCTCCTTCAATCTCACAAGTTCCCTATCGAAGGTATTCAAAATATTAAACATAACTTATCATCCAAAGCAGCTCTCGAATGCAATGATCAAAAATCTTACCATGATCCAAAATTCGACTGACCGCGAAACGCGGGGGCCATAGACCTCTACGACAGGTGTGGCCCAAAGAACCATAGCCCCGGCACCGATATAAACTATTGAACCGAGTTGAAATGCATACTCAATCGCAGCGGCTTCGATGAAAGGCGAGGCAATCCAGGTAAGGAAGCCAGCTATTGGTGATAAGCCCCAAAGGTACACGAATGAGAGGATTACAGAGGAATAACAACGCAAGCAAAGCATGCTTTAAATCCCATATACGTACCATCAACAGCAATATATTCCCCAAGCATAAAAATATTAGCGATCGAGATAAACTCGAGGACCACACATCCCGTAAACGATGCATACCCTGCACCAATGAAGGTATTTCCACCCTAAACATATTTTTAGGGTAATCAGTCTCACAGGGGCAAAGCGGAATTCTTTTAATCATGGTCAAGTTCCATCAAAAGCTTCCACTCACCTGTCCATTTTCGCTCGCCTGCGCTATATACTCCATCGCTGGGCTACCTGTCGCGATCATGACGCCGGACCCTATAAAATTGACCTCTCCCAAAGCCGACTAAGAAATTAGCAATTTGCATATTCAAGAAATTAGTGGTCGGTAGAAAAGGACCGAGAGATGGCATTTCAAAGAACGTACGAAGAAAAGCAGGCCGTTATACTCGTCGAAGACAGTTCCTGTAAAGATCGCAACACCGCTTCCGACTGTGTACTCAAATCCAACACCGTAAACAGCACCAAGCGCGAAAGCTTCAACATTATTCATGCCCGTCACAACGAGAACTCCTGCAATGGGGAAATGAGCTATGTGAGACGAAGCATCAAAGCCCGAACAGTCCTTTCCGCGGAGTACAGCTCTACCATATTGAACGCACCGCCAAGAACGTTAAGCTCGCCCGAGCCACTGTATGACAAACCGGCAGAATATTCGTTGATAACAGAGTGTGTCATGATCATAACGCCGCCTATCGGGTAGAGTGGTATCATGGAACAAAAATTAGTAAAATTTCCCACCCTCTCAGGACCCCCAGGTCTGGTTTTCACTCACCTCCGACTAAAAATGCCTGCCCAAGACAGTTTTCACTAATCGCAAAATTGTTCTCTATGAATGTGTTGAAGGTGTAGGTGCTCAATCCCGCGAACTGAGCAACAAACTGCGCAGAAAAGAGAAACAGATCACGGTCTTGTGAGATAAAAACCTTGCGCGCAATTTCAAATCGGGCAAGGTTGAGGAAATTCCAAAGCTCAAAGTGTAGTGAATCTCCCTCTTAAGGGTAACCCCTAGCCTCTATAATCTCCCAAGCTCACCAGGCCCACGCCGTTCTCGATGCCAAATACGGTATTTTCAAAGAAAGTGCAGCCTGTAAAGGTCAACACTCCGCCAAGTTGAAGAACGTCTTGACCAATATACAAGACATTCCCAAACGTATAGATCAAAGTCAAATCCCAAAATAAGCAGCCCACGAAATCTATGAAGGTCATGTGAAAATTTTGAGGTCAAATAGAAACAGTGTCAAGAATCGGACTGAACGCTCAGCTCATGTCATTCGATTACCGCAACGTACCAACACGGCCACCGACAATAAAGACATGTCCGCCATAAATGCGATAGACATCGCCATCTATCGATCTTCGGATACTCCGTCTGGCAGCGTCCTCTACGTCGGGATCGTCAATGAATATGACACCTGTGAACTTTCCCCCTAAAGCTCCTTCGTCGATAAACACGCTGCCTCCTCGGATCTCCCAGACGCGATTCCTTGGAGAAGTAGTGGCAAAGATCTCATAGGGCTTAGGCTCTCGAACTATTCCATCGCTTGCAAATTGCTGCACAAAGCGAAGATCGAGAAATCCTCCTTCCAGCACGTGGAAGGAGCGAATGGCATCCTCGCCATCAATCATTGGCAGCACACTAGGATTCCCCATAACGATGACCTCTCGTCGCACGAGAATCTCACGCTCCAACTCGTAGAGCTGGCCTGGCTTCAAATATACAATCGAGCATGACTGGTTCTATTGCGTAGGTATAGAAAAGTCGGAAATCAATCATTCGCCGAATAACTGAGAGCAAGGGAGAGGATACGACAGCGCGCCAAGGCTTTGTTAAGAGCGTTTCCCATCATCGCCACCAGACCTTTTCCTTACCCACCTCGATCGCATCGGTCAGTTCAAGCCCGTCGTTGACCTCACATCCATCCTCAGGCAATCCATTCAAGCCGCCACCAGCCACTGCGAGTGCAATATTTAAATCTTGAACAATCTCGGGAGGCTCAACATTGTTCAGAGGATTACCGAAGTTCCCAGAAACTTGCTTGTTTTCATTTTCGTTTTGAACCATTGAGACCGGTAAGACCTCATGTGGATTGAACGTCAGCCCGGAGGAGTCGGCTATTGTTTCATTTTTTGTATCCTGTTACCGGTGAAAACAATCAGAGGCATTCGACTGCTACGTTCTCTCTTTAATTTTACCTTTTGTAAAAGCGGATGAGACACCTTATCCCCTTCTGTGACTAGCATTCCGTCACCGTTCATCACACTGAGAGGGGTCGTTCCGATGGCAGTTTCTACTGATTTCTCTTCATGAGTCTGAGAATAGAAAAATGTGAAAATGTGAAGAAATTCAAGGAAACCATGTGAGATAGGTGCTTCCTGAAATCCCAGACTCGGCTTACTTTCGATCTCCTTTTTCCACCGAGAACATGATGTAGATGTTTACCTTTCCAGCAAATGCGACGACTACAGCTACAATACCCGCCACAAGCACTGCAGAGACTATGAGACCTATGCGACGGCGCCGGACGCAGACCACATCTGATCCGTGATCGGTTCCTTGTGGCGTCATTCCTGTAATGCATGAGCGAAAAAAATGAGATGTCTTGAATGAATTTTTTGAGCAAAATATATTCGCACGCTTAGACGCGGAGTTACCGGGGTAAATGCTTGTGGGAGAGGGCCAAAGTTGAAAAGCGAATGGCGCCGACAATCAAAGCAGTTGGGCAAGTAAGTGAAGATCGAACCACACAAATGCCCAATAGGTTGCACGCTGTACTTGCTTTGAGTTCACAATAGTTTGTACTTGCTCGCCATTGATAGGTCTTCAAAACCGTTGCCCCAAGTGTTTGTAATACTGCTGCCATAGCAGTGGTCATAGCATTCGCTACATCGCTAAACATTCGAAATGCGTGCATGTCCGAAGGTACGCTCACAAAGTATGGCCCATACAAGCAGGAAATATAGGGTGGATAGGGTAGGAGAGGCGGGAATGTGCGACGGAGAATGTGGTGAGAGGCTACTGATCCTGAGGCGCGTGCCCCTCTTCTCTCTCTTCTCATCTCTGCGTGGCGCGTGCCGGCATCCGGTTACCTGAGACCACTTCTGCCCACACTCTCGAGCACGCGTTCGAACCACTTGCATGAGAACCTCGCCGTGAGGTGTGCTTACATGCGAAACAATCTCGTGACTTTCTGATTTTCAAGTGTATAACGAGATATTACGACGGCACGCGCGCGACTTCAAAAATGTCGTCATTTCGTGTTCGCCTTAAACGCTTGCTTTTGAAAAACTCGACATACTTTTCCCATGCCATTCTACGCGCGACAAAGCTGGACCCCTTTATCGTTCTCATCCCATGTTTCATAGTTGAAGTCATTTCAAACGTTTCGCTTTGGTTTTTCAGGTCGATGGCGACGCTTCGATTTCTTGCTCTCCTCTTTTCCTGCTTCTACTTCTGCGTACGATGCCAGGGGCAGAGGTTTTCTGATCTCAAGAATATGGCAGCTAATCAGAAGGGCGGCATTGTCACTGTAGGAAACGAATTCAAGGACCAAGCCGGCGAGAAGTTCAAGGAAAGGACGGAAGAAGTAAAGTCTTCCCTGCAGGGCTGTGAGTACGGATTGATCGTTGGTTCGGCAGTTCAATGAAACCTGTGTAGGATAAGGCTCCTCGGAATTTGAAACCTTTCTCCTAATACCCATATCATCTCCATTTCCCAAATTGCTAAGTATTCGATCCTGTTGGTTCTCCGGGTAAGTCCGCTTTCTTTCAGAAAGTCAAGAAAGATGGCATTGATTCTGTCGAGCTTTTCGAAACTTTGTTCAAGAGCAAAGCGTTTGAGGTAAGTCAAGATCCTCGTACTGCAAGCTATTGCTATTTTTAGAACTCAATTGCATCCCGTCATCTCAGAGCATTTTGGAAAATGTCGAGATTCAGCACCGAATTATCGAGGGAGTCCCTATTCTGGGAGCTGTGAGCGGATTCCGTGAAGCTAGAGGGCGCCGTTTGACGGATCAAGAGGTGGGTCCGCAAAGAGTTTGCCAGTCATGCCTCCCAAGATCTCCAGAAATTGAGAACTATATTTTTCCTTTCCCATGTCCAGACAACGGCTGGCTTCAGCAAAGGCGTTCGAAATCTCCTTGAAATGTTCAAGACATCAGCAAAGCATGCATTGGTAATTTAGTACTATTTTTTGCCTTTGGAGAATGTGATAGTAGATATTTCACATGGATGGAGCTTACGATTTTCCACGGGCATCCTCATCCGAGACTTTTTCTCTATAATTATTTTAGAATCCAACGCTGATGAATGAGAGGATTGCGGAGCTTTCCAAGTCAGACGATCCAGAGATTCAGGTATGGATAGCAGTTCAGGCTAGAATTCAGGAAAAAATCAAGCCTTATCTTCTACGATATGAACAGGATCTTTTTAAAGGTGCATCTGAAAATGATGAAGCCTCAGTCTTGGAACTTAAGAATTTGGCAGCTCGGGACCTTTATCCGGGTAAAAAGGTGGCGGCTGGTAATGATACGCAATCATCTACTTTGCTCATGATTTCATTCCTGATTCTTCCGCAGGCGTTGATCTTGAAATTCTCCAAGACGTCATGAATAGTTTAACCTTTGACAAGCTGCTGGATATACCCGAGATGGCTCGTTTCATTGATCAGGATCCGTACATTTCGAGAGTTTTCCGGATGAATCAGTAAATCAAGTAATTGCAGATGTATCTCAATAAAGTATTGATTTGGAAAACTTGTTGGAAAAATTATGCAACGGATTCATGGAAAAGATCTACGTCACAGAACTTCTTCCATGATCTTTCAAAAAGTATCGTTCAGGCAACAAAATTGTAGTAAAAAGAGCAATTAAAGGTTATGTCTTATCATTACGATCGTGCCACGTTTATTTATTTTAAATTAAATCGCTACGTTGAACTTAATGGGTGAGATTTTTAACTGTCAGGAAGAAATCGGGGTTGCAACATGAACTTCCGTGAAAGGCCCGCAGCCCTAACCCTAAAACTAAATCTGTTTTAGGGTTGAGCTAATGAAAATACATGAAGCTTCGGGATCGAGTGAGATTCTGGTAAAAGTTGAGGCACGCGCCCTCACAACGTCTCAAATCACGTCGAAGCCGGGGAAACCGTTAAATGAAACGTCTTCGCACGGGAGAGAAGGCGCGTGCCCCTCTCCATCTCAAAAGATGTCCAGGTTCCCTGCGCGTGCTTCTCAGATTGATATCCTGGAAGAATTCTTGGCTAGTTCTGGACTTGTGATTTGTTTCGTGGGAAGACATAGATTCAAGTTGGGCCCATATTTGAAGTAGTGTGGGTGGTATGTTGTACACTCTGGTCTTGCTTGTAAATGTTTTGGAGCTTATATTTACTGCCAGAGCCTCGAGACACATTAAGATCATTTCCACTACTAGTTACAGAGACCAAATAATAGCAGGGACAGCAACTGAAGAAATTCTACACCATGCTCAAATTAATTGTAAAGAGCGCGTTCCTCTTTGCCGTGCTGTGTTCGGTATGTATTTTTGGAGTACGCCATGTCTTTTCCTGGAAAATAAGTTTTACCTTAAATATTTTTCTCATGCATATAATTTCACCCACAGGTCGAGGGGAGGCGCGGACGGCGCGGACGGCGCGGACCGCGAAAGTGGATGGAGGAGCCCAACAATCAAACAGTTCCTACGGACCCACCTTTCCCCGCGGGTGTGAATGTGAATGATATAGTGTACCGCAATTTCGTGACGAAACCTAAAGTTCACCGAGCGGGTCGAACTATTGTTATGAGGACTAAGTTTTCTTTTAATAGCTGGCCAGAAGGGGCAACATCCATGTATTGCGCGGTGCGTACAATGTAAATTAAAGCATCACTGTAGGGATTTCTAATTGCTAGGAGCTCAAGCAATTTCATCATCATGCATACACTTAATCTGTCTATACAGATGCGCAATTACAATACAACCTCTGATTTAACCACGTTTGCGGTGATCAATCAAGATCTTTCCTATGAAACCTCCGGGCCACTGTGGCGGCCTTCAAGCTTTGGGATTTCGATGGCCGTCCAACCTGATCGAGTGGAGTGGTCATTTGACCAAAGTGGAAAAGATCTCGTTGTTGGGAAGACATTTAATCTTCTCGGAAGGTTGAGGCTGAACCGTCATGCCACTGCGAAACAGTATGTCTGGCGATCTTACTGTGAGACAAAGCAGCCTCCAGGGAGAAAAAGTTGGTATTATTTCAAAAGCTGGATGGAGGTAAGATTTGGAAGGCTGCTCTTTTTCTTTAAGACTTCTATCGCTCCATGCTATATTTCGTCCGCATATTGCAGCAACTGATCGTTCAACACATGACTTTCCTTTCCCAATGCCTCGCAGGTGAGCATGAGACCGGCGAGGCGAAAGTAGGATATGGCATTTATTTGTGCTCGGCACTATTCTTCTGCTCGACCTTTATCTTCTGATGAGTCTGTCGGACGGAATACATTAATTAATTTATGCTACAAGGAGTTTCCACTCATACGATGGTTTGAAAAGAGGATAACGGATTAGCACAAGAACAAGGAAATAAGACTGCCTGGTGAAAAACGCAAAAAGCGAGTTACAAAGAAAGAAAAAAACCTAGAAACTTTCCTATCCAAGGAATTGCTCATTATATTCTTTCACTACTGGGCACGTCACAAATCATTGACCAATGGTCGTTATTTCGGTTGAGTGCTTCAATGGGGAGAGAAATTGCCAGCCAAAAGGAATACATGGAGCTCACCAAGCATCTATCACCACTTTAAGAGGAAAGTTTTTCTTGAAGAAATACTTCATTCCTTGAAGAAATACTTGACTATAGCTTCTCTTGGATTTGCACTGGAGCTTGCACAAGCCCAATTGTACCAGCTTCTGTCATATCGAAAAAAGGTAGCCTTACCCGTAAACCTAGGGTGCGCTTAATACTGTTCCGAGGCTCGAAGCGCGCTGAATCGTGATACAGTGACATGGGAAATATTACAATAGTCCCTCGCGATGGTTTGACCACCAATGGACAGTGATTCCTCTCAAAATCGTCCTGGCTTTCCCAAAACCGAGTCCCTGCAATTTCATCCAAGAAAAGCAGTAATTTATGCGACTCCCCGCCTTTGATGGCGTCATAGTGCGGCTGTACCTCCACGTTCTCTTCAGAGAATGTAACGTAGTCCTCAAATTGCACGTTAGACATCGGCAAAATGTCTCGAATAAGGTCGTGAAGCGAACTTGTATTTTTTGTTTCCAATATCATCCGTTGTTCGCTGTGCTCAAGCACTAAATCGGATAAGTAAGATTTCATCGCACTCAACTGTTCTTCAGAGAGAAGGCTGGGAAACACCAAAATTTCACATCTTCTATCATCAGATAAATCAAGCATCGAGTCCTTGGTACTCCTGTCCTCCCAAGCTTCCTGTGGAAAGACGCTTTCTATTAGTCTGTCATCTCCCTCCTTCCTTTTGCAAACACAGCCAGTACGCTGGTCGAATCCACACCCCAAACATGATTGTCCTTCGTTTTGGCAGATATTCAAGCATTTTTCCACCTTGGCAGGTATTAATTGCAATCTCCTGCATCGCTCAAAAGTCTGGTGACCAGAACTAAAAGATCGTACGGGATTAGTTCCAAATCGCTTTGCCCGCTGCTCGCTAAGGAGCTTCTGCGTAATCTTAGGGCGTTTTGTTAATGTAATCGTTAACTCAGAAGTGTCATGGATCCCTTCTGTGTCCATTACCTCCACCAAGCCCTGGATATTAATTGGACCTGTCTCAGATATTGATATGACTCTGAAATCGACATTGAAGACCAGCGATTGTCCAGGAGCCAATGTCAACCCCTTCCACCTCACTACGAATGCGCCATCCGTATCAATATACGCGACTTCTTGTCCAGCAGACTTTTCTTGAGGCGGAAATACACTTGATCCGAGGAATTTGGTACTATTGAAGGGGAGATGCATGTTAAAGTCGAGGGCTTTCAGTCTTTCCCCGGCATTATGCACTGTAAACCAACAAGGCGCAATGTCTCCCTCTGATATTTGCTTCTCATTCATTGACGATGAGATATTTATTTCAGAAGAAATATCGTGAGCTACTAAAGCTGGAATCCTAGTCGAGAACAAGCCCTCCTTTGAGGCGCTATCACCTCTATGTTTGAGAAGAAGCATGGAGACAAGCAAGAGCAAGGTACTAAGAAGTCTCAGCAATGATCTCCTCTTGGTACGAATAGAAAGCCAACTCCTTTTTAGGAAAATCATTGGGGTAGTAGCGCTTTCCCTATGTGAGAAAGCGTTATCCGCAAACATATGTTAAGTTCTGTGTCATTGCCACATGATTCATTTGAAATCCTTAGAAACGGCTCGTTGTCAGTTAATCGGATTTAACGGCAAGATGTCGGGGCACGCGCCCAGCACAAGCGCTTTAACGAGTACCCCTATAAAAGTACTGTGCCTCTAACGCACTCAATGGAATGATCTATTTCTTATACATGCGAGTAATGAGAACATTTTACACCACACAGCTGGTGTCTCTCCTATCCTCTTTTTACTATGCACCGTCTTTTGCAGCCAATTTTCACGCTCTAATCCCTCCTATGGAAACAGGGCATCCATTCTTCCTCCCTTGACTCTTTTTTTGGGGGTCAGCGAGATCGCACTTAGAATGATGAGTCTACGACTGGTTTTATTTCTGGGAGCATGTGTCTTGCTCTCAGTGACAGCGGTAAGTAATACCTCCGACTTTGCCCTTCGCTTTTCGCATGTATCCTTATCTTCGCGGTTTTAAAATGGTTTCTACTTAGTTGGAAATAAAGATCAAATGTCTCCATCATGAGATCTCACTACTTTGTATGCTTGTGCATCACTCACATCTTTCCAGCAAAATCAGACTAAACCAGACATCGAGTTCGTTGGTTTCAAGGTCAACAGAGAGCAACAAATAAAGGGCAGAAACATCATGCTCACTGCCACTGCGAATATGAAATTGATGGGGATCAATGATCTTATCTACTGCGGAGTAAGTGACAACTTTGACTGCGAGTGTATAGTGCAACTTGAGTTTGAATAGCTACCCTTCATAATCTGTATCTGACCAACTTAAGATGTCAATTTATTCCTTCTACGCTTGACAGTTTAAAAACTTGAATACAACGGGCTCACCGCCTGTTGAGACGGCCCTTGCCGCGGCAGGGATTCGATTCTCCCAACAGCGCACGATGGCAAAAGCAAAATGGTTCATTAAAGAGAAACGTTCCGCTGGCCGAATTATCTGGTAAGGGAGGGATGACTTCAGCGAACGGTCTTAGCGATCCCCCTCAGAGCACGAATTCCCCTGCGTGCAAATTTTGCGCAGATTTTTTGTCCTGAAGCAACTTTAGATACATTTTCTCATTTTATTTATCGTACAGGGAGTTTGATCCTCGTGGATATGCTTTGACTGAAGGAAGAATCTACACTTATCGCATGAGAAACAAAGTGGCCAGGGACACGATTCCTGATTCTGTCACATGGGCATTTTTCTGCGAGACAAAGCTCACAGGACAGCCCAATTATTACTCCTTCCAGGAATCTATCACGGTAATCATTTTTACACCTCTTGAAAGCTTGATTTTTAATAACACGAACTCAAAGATATCTCTCATCTACAATCGAGTACAGGTCCCTCTTGTCATGAGGAGAAAGTAAGTCTATTTCAGCATTCTTGCGGTCAAATATCACGACAGATCAGAAGTAGTTACATTTTACTAATACGTCGAAGGCAACGGATTCTACTAGATATCAATATGGCAAGGATAGATAGAGATTTTTAGGGAATTTAACAGGCATATACAATGTTGGATGGGAATAAGCGATACAAAGGGGGGGAAAGCAAAAAAGAGCAGTGCTCATTATTCTGACCGACTTGTTGCTTGTGATTTTTAAAAAATGTGGGGCTAGAGAAGGAGGCTCTCGTTTCTTTCGTTTAAATCTTGAGTAGACTTTATTTCAATGGATCACTTGACAGCTCGTGTGGATTCAGTCGAAAGAATAAGTGAATAGTTTAACATGTATTCACAGGTAAAACTTAATTTTTTGAACGGCAGCTTCTGTACTCTTTTATCCTTTTGCGTACCAGTAAGGGGAATGCCATTGCCGTAAGTGGCACAGGTTGCACGTCAGGGTAGAAAAGATGTAAGAATTTGTACCACAAAGCTGAATTTGTATGAGTAGATGCCTTCTGCATTTTGAGGTTTAGAAGAGTTATCCGTTAGGTCGATTTCAAAAAATCAAAAATGAGGCCAACGGCACACGTAGGGCACGCGCCTTAGATCCCGGTTGATACGACGACTCACCTGCCCCACGCGAATATTGCCTTGCCAATTAAAATGTTTTCTTAATTGTGTCTGCTGATTAGTAAAGGTTCACTGTCGTAGATTGCAACATTTAAGAGCTGCTTACAAACAACTCGAATATGAATATGGGCCAAAAAGCCAAAAACCGCTACGTTGGATCTCGTCCTCTTTTCATGATCCTCCTTCCCCCAAAATGTATACCGTAGAAAGTAAAAAGATCAGATGCTTCATTTTTTTAGCTTGTTCGTCATTTTGGCCTTGACTGTGCCCCAGGTAAGTGTCTAGATGATAAGTCTGACAAGGTTGCCTTTGATAGATCGTCTCACAGAGCAGCACCACATCCTTCCTGTCATTCACGGGGCTCTGTTGTTTACAAATTGCACACCAAACTCAGGGATTGGCACAAACGTTGGCCAATAATGGGAGTATGACCCTGCTCCGTGACCTCAAGGTGAACAAGAGGCGCGTTCGCTGCGGCCGAAACCTGGCTGTTATTGGTAGGGTCCGTCTCAACAGTTTCGGAGATGCTGACTCTCTGTACTGCGCGGTAAGTGGATATATACATATAAAAGTCGATGTAAATCTGATAATATAATTAATGGCGCTTTATACTTTTTTTCGGCGTAATATCGTGTGCACATCCGGCGAAACACCGGGCGAAAACATTCGTCGTTCAGCTCCGCAACATGAATTACGATTCTGCTCAATTTGATTTGAAGGATCGGGTCACGCGCTTCACTCATATCAATACCCGCAAGTTCGTCATGATGTTTGGAGACGAAACTCCATCGGATGGGACTAAAAAATACTGGTGGAGTTGGAGCCGAGATGGACGCTTGTTTAGCGAGGGCCTTAAATACAGTCTTCGTGTAAATCTCATTCTTAGGAATGCGACTGCAACTCCCGTTACGTGGCGGTTTTATTGTGAGACTAAGAAAAACAATTTCACAAGCCACTACTTTTGGGACAAGACAGGCGCCGATGTGAATAAACAGGTGGGTGCCCACTCCATTCATACAAATGGCGAGGACGGCAAAAGTTTCCCTTACATACCACAGCAGCTTGTCGTCTGTTTTCTTTGAAACGAGATGGTCACACCTATACACTTCATTTTTGTGGTACTGTCCCTCTTCATGTTCAACTATTTACATAAAACCTCTCATCTCGACATTGGCGACGTGACAGGTTAGAGTTGCCGCACCCTGCGAGTACACCAGCAAGAAGGACAAGTTGTAGAATGCAGCAGATATGATATAAAGTTGCAGTATGCGGAAGGAAAAGAGTAGCCACCATTCGCCCCAAATAAAAAAAACAGAAGACGCCAGAGGGAAGGGTAAATGGAAATTGAAGCTTTAGAAGGGAAAATGCATGCTAGAGAGAACCAGAATTGCAGCATATAGATCAAAAAGGAAGAGGAATACATCTTATTATTCCTACCGGTGCACCGACAGACCTGCTTCGCATTAATAGTCATTTTGGCTTACTGGCACTCCCCAGAGAGCAGTCTCACGTGCTGCACCTATTTGAACGACTTCTTACTTCATCCATCTTTTCCCCTGAATTCTGTTTTGAGCAAGTATTTCCCGAAATAGTCTCCCTGAGTCTGGTAGTCAGAGATCTCCCTCAGCGCACTCTTGACGCTCCCCTCGGGCTGCCCCAGTCGAGCCACCAACTCCCGCGCACTCCAGGCCGATTTCAATTGAAAGCATTTGAAAAGCGCCGTCCGCAAGCCCGCCTGATCGAGCCGCACCCTCTGGGGCCCGTCTCTCCCTCCTGTCCCCCTCCCCACCCCTGCTCCGCTCAGGGGCGCGTTGAGATCGATCATCTTCCGCACAGCCCCGCCAGCCCCCCGCCCTCCCTCGCCTCCTGGCCCCCAGTCATCCCGCAAAAGCTCCACACGCCGCTCTTTCCGGTGGTGCTGGATTTGCCTCTTCTTGGCAAAGACGCGGTAGTCCAAGGAAGCTGTGGGCAAGAGGCTCGTCCGCCGACTCACCACCCCCTCCACCATCATGCGCCCCCCTTCAGGCCCTCCCCCCGCCGCGGCGGCGCGCAGGGCGTACATCTTGGGCATCTTCGTCTCTGCGGGGGGGGCTTCCAGGGTAAAGTCGCGGGGCAGTTCCAGGCGCTCGCATAAGCTTTCCTCCAGGCGTACGGCTTCCGTGCGCTGCAGAGAAAGCAAGACAGGGGTGGGGGAGGGTGAAAGACGGTTTATTCGAGTGAGTAGGGGTATAGACGCAAGGACTCCTCCAAATCGTGCACCCTGGACAGGAGATCGCTTTAGCGCCACCACCCTTTTCGGGTCGACTTTAGCTCATCGAGCTGGACGGACGCCCCCTCGGTGCCTCTCTCTTACTCCACATGATTATTTGCTCCAATTCCTCCTGCCTTCTTCTTCCTGCCTTCCCCCTCCTCCATATCTTAATCTTTCCTGTCGTCGCTTTCTATACACTCTCCATCTTTCGCATCAATCACCTCTTTCGCACCCGCCTCCTTACCAGATCGTCTGCTCCTGCCCCTCCACCGCCATGGCTTCGGCTCACAGTCAGAGTGCCGACCTTTTCGCCTTCTTGAGCGCTCTTAATGGCCTCCGCTACTGCCACCGGGACCTTCACCAGCCACACGCGCACCCCCTGGCGCGTCGTGTCCAGCAAGCGACGTTTGCCCGATGTCGCGGTTCCGGTCGTAGCACCGCCAGACTCCCCCTTGTCCTTGCCTAGAGGTTGAATTCGATGGTAGGACGTGATAGTGTTAGTGAAAAGGGGAGGGAGAAAGAAAAAAATGGGTCATAGGAAGCGAGATCAGAACAAAGGAAGAGGAGTGTAAAACGATAATGGCTTTGCTTACCTTTGCTAGATATGGAAGGACATGAGACACAGCATTGTGCGATAAATGATTGTATATCAAAGATGTAGAAAGTATTGTGCGAATGAGAATAGAGTACGACGGAGTTATCACCAGAACACATCACTGTTACCATCTCATTCATGCTGAGCTCTGACGTACCGGACAGAGGGACGCTTTCGCGACGGTGGGACAGCAGGTTGTCCTGTACCACTTCCAGAGCTATCTGCCATTTGTTTGTGTCTGTTTGTGCAGCTGTGGACGGAAGGAAAATCGGGGGATGAAGAGATAGCTGAGGGTGCATGTGATGAAATACCTGCCTGGAAGCAAGCCACGTCAAGCGCTGGTAACCGTGACCTCTACGGAGGTGCACTCTCCACGCATTCAGCGTGTTGGTCACATCTTACACTCGATAGCGCGGCAGCTCGTAGCCTGGCAACTTCTCGTTGTGTTTTTAAGACCGCTCCGTGTCCTGTTACCTCCCCGCCCTCGCTGAAGAAGAAAGCGTCACCTCAAGTCAATCCCACTCCAGAACACTTTCACACGACCGCCTTTTCCAACTCTACCACGAATTGAAACGGACAGACGATCGACAGCACTCCGGGGAATTTATGCCTTGCACGTCTCGCGCGGCTCGGATGGCGGCCGTGGCAAGGCTAGCAAGGTATATAAGATCGGCTACGACAAATCCATCGACGTGTGTACTTGCTACCGCCCCAAATCCCGGCAAATGCCAAAATCACATGACCTCAAAAACGCTACGTGAGGCTAGGAGGTCACTATCATGCTCCTCCTCCTCCCATTGGGCCTCCTTCCCTGTCCTTTCGGATCCGGCAGAGCCCTGGTCAGACGACTTTCAAGCCAACAGGGCCGCAATGGACAAGCTGGTCGACCGCCTCGATGGCATCTTGGAAGAAGTAAGAGACGTCCATGTCCTCTAGTGTGTATATGCGAACATGATTACTTGGGCTCAGGTCCCCACACACCCGTTTTTCTCGGTCAGGTGTATCAAGGTGGAGGCGAGCTTGCTCGTTCGAAGCACGAACAGCGTGGAAAGCTTTATGTGCGAGAGCGCATCGAACGGCTAGTGGATCCTGGCACCCCTTTTCTGGAGCTGTCGCCATTGGCAGGGAGGGAGCTCTACGGCCAAGACAAAGTACCCGCAGGAGGCATCGTGACGGGTGAGAGGGTGGCCTGGAGGGAAGGAGGAGGCAAAGCTTTGGATGGGGACAATCCTCGTGGACAAGTGCTTGCGGGAACTGCTGGCTTTATATCAAGAGCGATGCCAGAAGCGTCACTTTCTGTTCGCTGGCAGGCTGCGCTAGTTGTCTCGCCCTTCTGCACTCCATCCTTTCCCCCGTCTCACCCCTTGCCTCCCGCCGTGTTCCGTTCTCACGACACCCCAGGCATCGGTCGCGTGGCGGGCGTGGAGTGCATGCTGGTGGCGAACGACGCCACGGTCAAAGGGGTAAGCCCATCGCAACTGTCGGAAGGACCAAGGAGGCAGGTGGTCGCCTGGCACTTACTCCCTTTGCACCCATGCAGGGCACCTATTACCCCATCACGGTCAAGAAGCACCTGAGGGCCCAGGAAATCGCTTTCCAGAACAAGCTACCGTGTATCTATCTGGTCGATTCAGGAGGCGCCTTCCTCCCAGACAGGACGAGGTCTTCCCGGA